GATTCGCCCCCTATAACCGCACAGCTCCGAGGTTTGCCGAACAATCCAGCATCCGTCCATTGCCTGTAATTCCACAGGACCCCGTGCAGGAACTGAATGAACCGTGAATCTCCGCCACCTATTCTACTGAAAATTTTTCTCGGCCCCCACTTAACATGTACCATGCAACCAATACCGCGCGCACCTCTTTTTACGAAGTCGGTCACGCCTGTGCGCTGACCCACCTCCTGCACAAGATCGTAACAGCCAAGGTAATGCATGGTCCCAGGCATCAAGCGAATCGCGGCCAGCCCAGTACAACTACGGGGCGCCGTTATGTTGCGATCAGATGCAAAGAGCTGCTCGTATGTAGGCATGCAATACTGACGTGGAGAGCCCGCAGGACTGTATTTTCCACAACGGCTCCTTGGTCTGGAACAGCAAGTGGCCATGTACCAGTAAAAGTTGGTGGCATCCACTTTCCAGAATTTGATAGCATCAAATACAAAGCGGAAAGCATCACTGTGTATTTAACTGCAACGAGATCATATGATTTAACAGTTTTGCCCCCNAATACAAAGCGGAAAGCATCACTGTGTATTTAACTGCAACGAGATCATATGATTTAACAGTTTTGCCCCCCTCACTGCATCTCACTACGCACTATGCACCCAAGCTGCCAACGGGACTCACGCATTATAGAGCTAATTGTGGCAGTGCTGCTGTAAACTACCGCCACGTGTCACTGCAGCTTGAACGAGCACGGAAACAAGGAGCTGATACGCGAATTGCAGAGCGTTGTGCCAAGGTACAAGCCTTATCGCCACTGCTTCCGCGGGGGGAGCACCAAAGCAACGCTCAGATTAATAGGCGCTCCCCCTCCCCGCACTACTAAGGAATTCATCATGGAGCATGAACAGAGTAAAGAAGACTGCAATCACGAGAGGCGAGTTGTCCCGTCCACAAGCTACTGTTGCATGCGTATGAACCAGTCTCCTGAGAGCACCAGCTCCGCACCTTCCTGAAGCATGCGTTCACTGTAAATGCACACGAATCCATGTCCAGCATCGCAAGCGCATCCAGTGAAGAGCGTTCGTAGTCGTCCGGAGCGAAAACACCAGAGGATACAGCGGTAGTCGCATTCCTATACCCGAGTCATCTTGAAGTCTACAGTTCACAACATTTCGCGGTCAGTGGTAGTTTGCGTGTTCTTTTGACAACCTGTTCAAAGATGCTGGTATGTTACAACCACTTTCGCCCGCGCCGGGCAACTCCCTACCTTCAATGCCGAAGCCGACTACAACAACTGGCAGCGTTCACATCGTAGAAACGCGTGTAACC